TGCCCTTGCAAATACGGCAGTGCAGTGAGATACCGCACTCAGCTTTCAGAGAACCGGGGTTACTCTGGTGAATGGACACTCTCTTTCAAACCTTACGGTAGTCTGTATCTCATAATGGATGTTACAGATCATTCTCAGATTGCATACTCTGAAGTCTATAACACCATACCCCAGGCAGGTGGATAACTCACACCCACTCCAAAGGTCAGTATACAGCTAAGAGCACACACTAAGTATCATTGCTTAACTAACAGCTGCACAGATGCCCCACACATAAATACCATTAAGATGAGATAGCCGATGAGATAGCCATTCCTCAGGTGAAATGAGCACACAGATACTCAGGAAGCTTCAGTATCTGGGACTCATGTGCCATCACAATAGAGAGCAAGCAATAGGACAGTTTCTCAAATATACCAATTGTCATCATAAAGTGAACGTATGGAAAGAGTGTGGAATGCTTGTTTTGGTGGAGATGATACATGAATGACTGTGCCATCTACTTTCATCTAATGCCTCATCTACTACATACATGCCAGAACAGCAGGCATGAGCTGCTGACAAGAAGCTCACGCAAATATTTTTCCATCATAAAGATTCCTTTACTCCACCTTCTTGCTGCAGGACATCTAATGCACTATCTTGCTGCCACAAGCTTTCGACTTTTACGAAGATCAATCTAGGAGGGAGATGGAGAGAGCTGAGTTTCCCCGATAGTGAAGCTCAAATTCCACCATGTCTGGGCAGGAGGGAGAACAGCATCCTCCTCATTATCATCTCTGTGGAGATCGATGTAACATCGTCCTTATCTTCTTCAAGTTCCTCTTCAGAATTGAGGAGCTGGTTGAAGAACATAGGAAATTCAGTCTCTTGCTTCTTGAACATGCCTCCCAACAAGTGCCAGCTAAGCTGGGTTTGTCACTGGACTTCACCACAGTGTCGGATTATTAGGGACCGACTTTTGAGGCCACTGACCCTCGCAAATGCCACTCCAGGATTCTGCCTACCATTGCGCTGCAGTGCTCGGGAGAAGCATGTTTAACATGCATACATATGATGGGTC